TATTTGCTAGAAAATTATCTCTAAGTTGTAACTAATGTTATAGCCTATCGTTTCTCAAATCAGACAAGGCAAAAATTGGGGTCTCCTCAAATTATCATATTGCTCGTTAAAATTATTATACTATTATTAGGAAAAATATATTTAGCGTGCCCGTATTCATTGGATGCGAATCCACGTGCGAACAATGCATCTTATTGGTTGTTTTATACAGTTAACGTTGACTCCAGGAATATCTTATTGGTTAGATTTTTTTAGCGGCGTTTTTGGCGGCATATTTCTTTGAAGCGGCGTCTTTGGCGGCATATTTCTTTAAAGCGGCTGCCGCTTGCTAATCAGTTTCGTCTGGAAAGACAATGCAGTAGATAGTTTTTATAAATTTGATTCCTATTTGAGTTGTATCGTGCCTCATGTTTTATTTTATATAAAACTGTTTTAATAAATTTCTCTTACCCCGCCGCCAGTGCTTCATAAAGAAAACGCCGACGGCCAGAGGAATATTTTTTTTTTACTGTCTCATTTGACTAGCGATAGACTATACCAGGGTACCCTGGTAACATTGGGTAATACACATACAGGTGCTCTGCACCTAGGTGTTGAACTTTCCATAAGACGTATTAAATAAAGTTCTAGAGTGTTCTGTAGCATTTTAAATGGTTTCCAGTAACTTCTAAGTTGGATGAGAAACGAATTCTTTGTAGACATCTTAAAAACGTCCCCGAAAAGTCCACAAACGATATTCAAGGCGTTTTTTAGACGTCTGCTTACACATTCAAGGCATATTAAAGATATCTTAAAGACTTCGCATGTTACGAAGCCCAACGTCTTTTAAACTTTTGTCTAAAAACGTCTTTATGACATTTTCCTAAGGCATTTTAAAGACGCCTTCAACGAGATGTCTCAAAGACGTCTTTGAATCTCTTTTTTATTATTCATGAACCATTATTCACTCTTATGCCGGTTGTACCAGATAGTTGTCTTAAAGATGTGAAACGACATCTTATGGACGTCTTCTCGAATTCTTTTTTTGTTTTTGAGACGTTCAGATGCAATGCAGATCTGAAAAAGGCGTCTTTAAGACTTTGTGTGCTGTCTGGGAAGAAAACAGATTCGAGAACAGAACATTATCACAAATCGAAGGTGCAAGTACATTGTAAAAAATATTGCAGCCGTGGATAAATTTGTTAGGTACTGGCAGTGATCAGTGATCATAGATTTCTAAGTGCCACAATAAAAGTTCAATATCACCGTAAAAAGAAGTAAACCATAAAGCAAAAAAAGTTTTCTCACTGTAGAAACGTTAAGGGAAAACATTCAAAAGTAGGTACCAATCGGAACTCAAAGGATGACATTATTATCCAAGAAGGAAAAGCATTTTTATCCGGAGGTATGCGTATGCGTATAGTTTGATCTTCAAGCTGTATATAACAATTTGAACTTTATTGTCGTCAACACTTGACACAGAAGTGATCCATTATGTTCCTAGGACCATAAATATTATTATGTATAAGGTAATTTGTTCGTTTTTTTCTCGCTAGAGGCAGCAGCTTCAATCTATATTCTTGTAATTATTTTCACGTTTACTTCTGGACAGATGGCTGATATTCCAAGAGCATAATCTATTCATAATTTGAAGTAATTTAATCGTTTTGCATTTTTTCTTCAATGTTATGAACTAAATTATTGCATAAATAAGGTACGAGCATAAATAAATACGGCTTAGGAATGCAGTTTTGTCGGTTACAACAACCGAAAAGCGTGAAAATTGAAAATGAAGAGAGAGTTGGGGAAAATTGGAGGATTGAAAATTTTGGTCTTGGGCGGGATTCGAACCCGCGTCCTCAGAATTATCGGTGCTACGCTCTAACCAACTAACACACCATTATCCTACAGATCTTTTTGATTTTTTGTTTGGTGATGTTAAAGAAAGTTGGGTGGTTCTCCGCTCATTGCCAAACTTCTCAATCCTTCAATAGACCCACACGTTTATGGCATCGGTCCTAACTCGGATAAGCTCCTTATCACTATGTAGGTTTGGTCCATGTGTGTTGAAACTTGGTGTATGCGATGCCCGCATAAGCAATGTTGAAGGGAATGAAGTTTTGTCGGTTACAACAACCGAAAAGCGTGGAAATTGAAAAAGAAGAAAAAGTTAAGGAATATTGGGGGATTGAAAATTTTGGCATTGGGCGGGATTCGAACCCGCGTTCTCAGCATTGCCGGGTGCTACGCTCTAACCAACTAAGCCACCATGAGCCTAAAGATTTTTTGTTTGGTGATGTTAGAGGAAGTTGCGTGGTTCTCCGCTCATTGCCAAACTTCTCAATCCTCCAATAAACCCACACATTTATGGCATCGGTCCTAACTCGAATAAGTTCTTTATTACTATGTAGGTTTCGTCCATGTGTGTTGAAACTTGGTGTATGCGATGCCCGCATTAGCAATGTTGAAAGGGATGAAGTTTTGTCGGTTACAGCAACCGAAAAGCGTGGAAATTGAAAACGAAGAGAAAGTTAAGGAAAAATGGAGGATTGAAAATCATGTAGTTGGTTAGAGCGTAGCACCGGCAATGCTGAGGACGCGGGTTCCAATCCCGACAAGCCCAAAATTTTCAATCCTCCAATTTTACTTAACTTTCTCTTCATTTTCAAATACGGATTACCCAGTTGACGTGTCTGCCCGCTTACACGAGCTTTCATGTTCGGAGCAGTGAAATATGTTCTAAGTGACCTAATACTGATTTGAAATTAAAGTGAGCAAATCATACATCGTGAATTTATCAGCTGTTTAGTGTTCATTTTTCCGAAAATGGATATATGAAAACAACAGTGATTAAGTTGTGAAAAGGAATATTGCATTGCAATCCCTCGAAGATAAAATGTTGTATGCCATTCGGCACCGAAGGTCTTTTTGTGCTTCGCTCAATTGTAGGCCTCCGCTACGCGTCGGCTATCAAATGTTGAGCTCAGCACAAAAATACCCACTTTTTGGCCTAATGACATAAATAACTATTTTCTACACCCTTTGACGAAACCTCGATGGGACACTATTGTTAGGTAAATGAAAAACCGCATGCCTCAATTTTTCTGAAACATTGGTAGTTAACTAATTTAGAGGGAGGAAAATTATTGTCTAAAAAATGTTCTTCCCCGGGAGGAAAAGAACCATTTTCCTCCAGAACCATTTTCATCCCTGGTTTTGGGATCGTTGTCGTTTTCTAGTAAGGTAGTAGAAAAATATACATTTTTCTTGACAGACTGTTATACTAATCCATGACAATACAATACCACAGGTCACCTACATACAGATGCGAAAGAGCGGAGAATTCATGGTTTAAGGTCATATGTAAGCACAACAGGCTGGAACACGCTCATGCACTATTCCTGACGCAAACGATCTGTGCCTATGCGTCAGGCGGCTGGCTTCCTTGCGGAGCCGTAGTTTCGTATAGCTTTGAATCGACGACGGCAAGTATAGTTACACATCTGTATTTAGGTGATCTGTGAAAATACTCGCTAATTCTAAATTCCACTGAGGTATATCAGGTAGGTATTAAAAAAGAATATCAGAAGAGCCTAATGGGAAGGGACATTATCACAGTTGGAATGATAAAGTTAGGATGAACAAGCTTATCATCTCTTTCTAATTTGTTACACAACAATGTCTTCAAAATGTTGAACTAGGACCACAAAGGTATTAAAATAGACGGCCGATACCTGAACCACCGCTTTGCAAATCATATTGTAGGTACCTACTCATTATCCATCCATAACATGAAACAGATATTGGCGAAACTGGAAGTGAAATCATCCCAAGTAGGACTTTCTATGAACTTTGGAACAACAAAAATCATGTCCAGGATTTGTTAGGATGGGTGATCATAGGAAATGTCATAACATCGAGATTGGCGAATAAAACCAAACTGAATCCAATTGTCGTAGGCGCAGACTGGAAAAGTTAAGAACAGTTCTGACAGAAACGAAAATCCCTATAAACCTGAAGATGAAGGAATTTAACGTATGACTTTTGCCATGGAAACGACTTCCCTAACAATAAAATCAGCGAACACACTTAGGACCATGCAAATAGCCATAGAAAGAAAAAATCTGGGTATTAGTCTCACGGGTCACACGAGATCTGACGATATCGGACGAAAGATGAAGGTAGATGATGTCATAGTCCGAATAGTTAAATTGCAGTTGGGCTACATCGCCTGTCAAGACAATAACAGAGCAACAAAACTTGACTACATGGAGACTGCGACAACATAAAAGTTTCGAGTGTGAAGAACGGTGGGTTAGGGGAATAGGCAGAAAAAAAGATATCACAACTATCCCTAAATAGAAAGAAGTAGAAGAAGCGAAGGCCTTTGTCTAGGAGTGGAAGAAGTCGCCGTCTATGAACTAACAAAGATGAATTGAAAAATTATATATTTTTTTGGAGCTCGTGTGGGTGTATTGCACTGTCGTCAAGAGTGTCAGGCAAGCAAGAAAAAAGTGATCAAGAGGAAAAATGAGATTCTCAGCCACACGAAAAAAATCCTATTTAAATTGATTTACGCGAGGCGCGTGGGGAAAAAATCATCCGAAAACTGTACTATTCTTCAAATAATAATAATTGTTTCTTGGATTACGTATTAATTAATGATAGAAACATTTAATTTTTATTTGTTGTTCTTGTACTCAACAACTATCATATCATGGAGAATTTGTGGAGATTTGTGACAAGAGAAAAAAATAATAATATTACAAACCATTCCTATGGTTTTAGTTACTAATTGCCTATGTAATCTCTCTGATGAAAATAAACCATATCGTTGCAACATTAAAACCAATCCAATGGCCTCGTCAGTAAAACCAAAAAAATAATTTAATTGTAGGACCTCATAATTTTGCCACTTTGTGCATATAAATTGCAGAAACCACTTCAAAAACAACTAATAAATTATGTAGATTCCATTTATTCAACTAATCTATATTCTAACCAAATCAACATCAACTCACCTTGTGAGTGTATTGTGTCATAGTTCACTTTAGAAAAAAATAAACGAGAAAAACACTACATGCCCTCCTGAGCCAGACCGAAATGAAATTTCATCGTGCACCAGTTGGATTCTGGATTTTGAATGAGAGAGTCATGCTGTCGTCCCAACAGCAGAACACTACCGGTTCGGGACCCATTCTGAGCGTCGTGCGCAAGGGATAGCTATCGACCTGGAAAAGGATGCGGACATAGGCTAACTGATCTAAGTATATAACTGAGTTCATTGAAATGCAATATCAATTTTCACAATTGCATGGTATCTGATACATGTTTTATGGTTTCAATGAAGATGTGAGTAAAATGGTACGATTGGGCAATTTGAATTTGACGAGAGACTGGTGGCTCATTTTACAAAATTGTCCATTTGGAAAATTATGGGATTATTATCGAAAATTAGAGAAAATGTCTCAATCTACTCATATCCGGGATAATTCAATGCTTAGGTGCTTAAAGATAAGGAGAAATCATTTGAATTGTGAATGCATAGTTCCTTTCACGTTAGTGAATAAAATTTCACTTTGCAATACTCCGCAACATAAAAGAATATTATTATAGGAAAGTACTTTTGATGATACATATTTTTTTTTAACATGAAGCACTACACATTTGTTGACGTCCTGCGCTCACTGAAAATATTATGTTTAGGCCTTCCTGTGACGTGGTCTAGATTTGGACTACCCCAATATTTAAAAGCTTTCACAGAATCTACTGTTTTAAAAACTATATTGTAATAGGTGAGTTTGGTTTAGTAGAGGCATAAAACTGCGGCTATTCACTTATATAACGTAGTAGCAGTTGCGATTATTATTTTCGATTGGTATATAGACCAATTGATCAATGTCCAATCTCCCAGTTCTCGGATGCGGTGGTCAAAAGAGAAACAACAAATTCATTATTGTGTAGCACTGGCGTATCCACTACATCAAATTCGTATACAGCGGCGACTTTGTCAGCTATTTCATTGGATTATGTCTCCAGACTGACTCTGGAATTTCTAATTTGGCGCGTGTGGTGACTCGCTTGGAAATCTTCTTGTGAGCGCGCCATGGGAATATTGCTTTTTCATGTACTAGGTTGTCCGGGAATAGATTATCTCTAGATTACAGGGTTAGTTTTATGCTAATGAATAGAAAACTTGGTGATGTATCACTTTAGCGCATTACGAACTTCAATTTTACTTTGATCTCTTTTCTCATGGAAATTCACACAATTAGTCGTCGTAATATGAACATAATTATGAATTAAAAACGAATCTTCCACCTAGTGTAAAAGCATCATAGCGTGAACAAGAAAATTGAATGCCAATTATTTTTATAAAGTCCCAAGCGAATACGGGGCTTTCTTTTGTGATTTGTTGACAAGGTGAGAAACCCTCGAGAACTCTTAATAATTCCCTGAAAAAAAAATACTGTCTTTTGCAAGCGTTTCACAAAGCAAGTCCATTTCCCTCTATGACCTTTATTTTTTCTAAGAAACTTTATCGCACAAAATATGTCATAATACCTTTCAATTTAACTATTCTGACAATTTTTATCTTTCGTCTGGTTCATCTGTGACTTAAGGGAGTAATAATTATAATTGATCCTTTGAAGATTATATATTTTTTATCTCATTGTGTCTGTTCACCATTTTGTTGATAAGCAACATGTCTTTCTCTTATAATCCCTTAGGAGACTTTTTGGAAAGTTTAGAAGGCTTCTGCTACTTTGGCTTTTATAATTAATTGCAGGTTTTGAATCATTGGACCATTTACTCTGAAGAGAGGCTTATGCCATATTTTTGAGCCTTCTGAGGGTTCTTAATTCTCGAGTCTGCTTTTATAGGGTTGTGCCTGCGCAAAGGATACGCCGGTGGTGCCGGATTTGGTTCGGCCTGCCTACTTTCTGGACGGCGCATTCGCGTAATATCTTGTAGCGATGCCGGAATGTGGTCGATGTCTCTGTCTACCGTCTACCAGGATGTGGTCGTTGTTGCTGGATCGGTTCTTTGTCAATGTTTGTTAGCGTGTTGTCGGCTTGCATCAGTTGACTTGGATTTAAAATACGAGGTTATGATAATTTAAATTCTTATCTGTTTGCTTTTCTTTCGATGCTCGACGAGTCTAATTTGGCCAAGGCAAAGGTACCTGTAAGTTCGTTCTTATCTCAGTCGAACCACAATTTCAGGTGTTGTTGCGTTCCAAGTACACAGGGCCAAACTCGAATGTCAGAGAAGGAAAAGTGCCTCCCGGAAAACCCCTTATAAGAAAACAACATTCAATTAACCACTATGTTTTTAAAGAAACAACGAAGCTAGGTTTGGTACTTAATTTTTCCTTTTTTCAACCCCATCTTAAATGATTTGAAGAATAGAAAGTTGACAATTAATTAAAGAAAATTAATTAATTCGCCATCAATCAATCTAAAAGAAAAAGATAGATAGGGACCCCAATTTTCCCATGCATAAGGAAAGGAATCGCCATAGGAAATATAACGTGAAATAGTACTCACCCGGTGTCAACTATAAAATCTCAGTGGTTCTCAACTTTCCAAGGAAACTCCAAACTAAATCAAGCCAAGACAATTCCTGGAGCAAAGGCAAGATACGGAAGATGACATTTAAATAATTTCCAGCCCAAATCCAATAAAATTGGCCAAGATGACAGCAGATTGGAAATTACGACGTTGTAAACCGGTGAAGGTGATCAGATTTAAAATGCCGAAGAAAGAAAACGAACCCTATCCGTTGAACCCTTCTTCTTCACAATTCATTCCGCATTTCGCCAAGACGGAACACTTCTACGCTTGCAGCTTATTGGCCAGATTCGAAAAACCACAGAAAGAAACATAATAAAACGTGGCAACATCGCTGATCCAAACGCGGAAGTATGCGGATACCGACTTATTCTCACAGAAACCCCATTACCCTGAAGAACAACAAAAACAATCAATGTAACTTGTTAATAAAAAAGGAAAAAGGCACTCTTCTATTATTTTCCCCTATTCAAAATAGCCTAATGAAAACATCGCCAAATTTCAAATATTTCCGGATTAGTTGGCGAATGGAGATTATAAATTATAATAATTAACAACATTGTTGACAATTGTATCTACAGGATAAGGTGGCGAATGAGGAAAGCAAAGTCGAAATTAAATTGTCACAGCTCCCCCTTTCCTACGACAGGAGGAAAAGTAACAGAGGAAACTTTTCCGACGATCAGCTGAGCTTGAGGAACAAGATAGAGATAGGACACGTTAGAGAGAGTGAGAGAAAAACAAACAAAATACTAATGAGCAAAGACAATCAAATACGAAGTTCAAATAAAGCTACGTTTATAGAATTTGCTTACTTCACCTTAAGAAAAACCACGAAGGTAACCATCATCGGGTAAAGTAAAAGTGAAGGTGAAAATAAGCAAAATGGTAGAAGAAAGAAAGAAAAAGAAGTAAGAAAGCTTTGGCCGTCCTGTGGCGAAATCCTCGGTCGTTCCTTCCTGGTATCCAGTGCAGACAGGAAAAATTCTAATACATTTTTTTTATTTTTTTTATTTTTTTTATTTTAATTGCAGTTGTCATGTGAATTTTGTGTAACCAACGTTGCGTTCTACTCTTGAATTCCATAGTAGAACCTCGTGCACTGGTCTTGTACCGGATGTCAGTGAAGAACTCCTTAAAGTTCTCCACCACAAAACGACCAAAGAGTGGGTAGAAGACAGAAAAGACAAGGGAATAGAGATTTAAATTCTCCCAAAAGACCCATCAACAATTGGTAACCAGGCTGAAAGATATATTAGTAGGCAGCCAAAAATGAAACTGAAGAGAGAGTGTTCCAAATGGTGTTACCGCCACCGATCTCAAAAGTCTGATAGGCGGAATGGAGCTGAGGCGAAACGCAGTCGTAACTACCTGATATTTGGCATACATGTTGCGGGGTTGACCTGCCACGTCCCACTAGGAATACCAGTCAGGCAGAAGCCCCCCCGACGCCCACCCTCCCATTCCGCCTGCTGTCCCCAGAGGCACAAGGCCTCCAAAGGCAGCGTCGGTCAATTAACCCGGTGGCACCCAGCACCACTTAGCCTTTTATATAAGAAGCAAATGAACATTTCCGACAAGCTAGAAACAACTACTCCGGAGGGGCAAATACCCCTACCCTAAAAATTACATAATGTGTTCAATGTTCATGTCACCATCTGTTTGTTTCACGTTTACTATAGAAAACCAAATGGTAAATTTGCAACCATGTTTGCGCTGTCAAGTAGGGGCGAGGCGAATGAGAAGGCGCGCCACAAAAAGCGTACCGAAGGGTAGACAGAAAATGAGAGACCAATGAACAAGCTTCTCCGTCATTATTCAATTTTTATTTTGTATTAAACTGATTGTTCAATCCAATTTGTGATTAGTTTGTGTGTCATAAGGAGCATTCACAGGTCAGTTGAATCAATGTTATTTTGTTTTTGAGAGTTTATTTATATTTATACAAGTATTATTTTTCTTTCATTTTTATGTATTTTTTTTGTTCGTTTATACTATATTTTATAATATGTGCATTGTTCATGTATTTAATAAAAATTGTTTCATGCTGTGAACAACGCAGATGAAAAGGAAATTAAAAACTTAAGAAATTATGTGCTGTCTTTCATGCTGGGATTTTAATTTTGGAATTCAGAGCGTTCATTAGGGCCTTGCTGAAATTACTAACACTTTCCTACCCTGACTGGGCGAATATCCTAGCAAACAAATGATCAGTCTAGAGATATTCGCTCAAAATAACAACTATAGCTAAGTAGCCTCCCAAACGGGACCTCAGTACCTGCTGGCAGACTGGCTAACTAACCAAAAACTCTTCAGTATTGAATATAGGTGGTGTTGATTGAATGTAGTGCGTAGAATTGAAATTTTAGCCTGACAGGTAGGTACGGTACCTAATTTACATTATTAATGGATTAGAATTACAATATTTTATTATTAAAATGACACAGTATGTTTTGATTTTTGAAGAATCGAGATCGAGGGTTTCTCTGCCGTTCTCTTTCCCCTTATGAATTCCAGGCTGAGAACGTTACGATTGTTTTAAATAATAAATTAAACGTTTCACAAATTTTTCGTTTATTTTACATATCACAACTTCCCTTAAAGGATAACGCACACCTAACATGGGATTTTTGGGCTCTATGGATTTTATGAGGAATGGAAATAATATTCAGCTTTCTTGGACTAATTTATTAAATTTAAAAATCAAATAGCCAACGTTTCGATGCTGGTTAGCATCATCATCAGGGCTGCAAAAAACGAAACAATACAAGTTTAACAAGAAAAAAGGACATTAACATCAAAAATTAAAAAAATTAAAAAAAAAAAATTAAAAAAAAATTTAAAAAAAATTTAAAAAAATTGTTGTTTAACTAATTAGGGCTATGTGACGCAAAAGGCGATTTTATGACATACAACACATTAAAACAAGCTAAAAATGATCACATCATCATACAAAAATTAATTCTAATCACTAAAAGATATCACAAAGACACAATCATTATCTTATAAACGTTAACACTTAAAATAATATCCTTAATTTATTAAAGCTCAAAAAGACTCACCCAGATTATTCTAGTTAAAATCTATGGATTAAAGTCTATGGATTTTCCTCATTTTTTGATATGTTGTAGAGGATTTAATTCTGAACAACCTTTAAATGGGACGAAATATTGTAGGTATTACGGTCTTTGAGATATGAGCGTTGAAAGATGAACTTTTCTGCAACTTTTTATGTAGAGAGTATACGAAAAACTGGTGTTTATCATTCAAAATTTTGAAAGGTCGACATATTTTACGTCACTAACAAATGTCAACATAGGCTAAGGCCGGGACCGCACTGACGCCAACATTGAGCCCAGTGCGGTCCCGGCCTTAACCTAAGTTGACATTGATTTTTAAGTGACGTAAAATATGTGAACCTGTCAATATTTTGACTGATAAACACCAGTAGCACCAGTATCTGGTATACTCTCCACACAAAAAGTCGCAAAAAAATTCATCTTCCAACGCTCATATCTCAAAGACCGTAATTACCTACAAGATTTCGTCCCATTTAAAGGTTGTTCAGAATTAAATCCTCTACAACATATCAAAAAATGGACAAAATCCATAGAGCTCAAAAATCCCATGCTAGGTGTGCGTTATCCTTTCCTCAATTTTGCTATTGTCGGGCGTATGTCAAGTAAGTAAACTTTCGACCCGTGGGCCGAAAGTAAAAGTCAAAAAAGTGACATTTTCGAACTTTTTAAAAGTCAGTAAAGTCAACATTACATGTATGATTGTAAATAATAGTATATTACATACCGAGGTGGAAAGTGCTCGAAATTTTAATTAGACCTCGGCTGCGCCTCGGTCTAACTAAAATCTCTCGACAGTAATGAAACCTTTCACCGAGGTATGTATACTATTTTATTTACAATCATTCGAATTTTGAAATTTTGATTTGAATTAAAACTAGAAAATACAATAATTAACAATTTCATTTACTTTCGGCCCACGGGTCGAAAGTTTACTTTCGACCCGTGGGCCGAACGTAAAAGTAAAAAAATACAATAAATTTTAAAAATTCCATTTACTTTCGGCCCACGGGTCGAAAGTAAACTTTCGACCCGTGGGCCGAAAGTAAAAGTCAAAAAAGTGACATTTTCGAACTTTTTAAAAGTCAGTAAAGTCAACATTACATGTATGATTGTAAATAAAACCTTTTTCTTACCTACTTTTTTTAAAACTTATATTGCCTACGGAAATTTAGATCAGAGTGAAATTGGACTTGGAGTACTTAGTTGTTTCTAGCAATGTTTCTAGCTAATCGACAAAGTTCAATATTGCTTAAACCGGAAAGGCGCAATCTTAAAAATATTTCATCGGGATGGCCTCTATTTTTCCAAAGTTTATTTTGCGAGAAATTGCGTTCGGAGAAGGGGAATTTTAATAAGGAAGTTTGTACTTCCATCGTGCGTCACATTTTTTTTTTCCCACTTTTCACTTCTTCACAAGATGCCGGGCCCAATTTCGGAAAAATATCGCATACGAATTTTTGTATGTCTTCGAACGCTTCCAATTTAATTTACATTGCTGTCAGTCAAATTCGAATCAAATTTCGTATGCGATATTTTTCAAGAATTGGACCACAGGCGAGTTCGGTTAATCCTCCGCGAGCTAAAAAATGATACTGTTGGCAGAAGCCCATGTGATCTTCGATTTGAAGTTTAGACACTGATCACGTGGGCCTGTCATCTTTTTGCTTGCTGACGAACTCCACTAAAATGAAAATTCCACAAAGAAGGACAGACTCAGTGATAATACAAAAAGACTCATGAAATAAAAACGAGAAATGCCAGAAAAACATACCTACAAGAAATGCGGGTCGATTGAACAAAGAAACAACTGTCAGGGTCCGTGTTCTCGAATGAGGGGAGTAGAGTTCTCATGAAAACAAAGGTTCTGTCTTGCTTATATATTCATATTTCCATAACACTGACAAAGAACAAACCTTCGTTTTCATGAGAACGCTGTTCCCCGGCTTCGAGAATAATGACCCTCAAAATAAGATCGTTTAACACGAGAGAACTAACAAGAGTATGATAGAGGAAAACAGGGTTCTGAAGTCAATTAGAAGAACACTACGGAAGGCAGAAAGAACGTATAACTAAGTTAAGAAACAAGAGGGTCGAATAACATCAAACAAAGACGAGATTCTAAATGTGGTCGGGGCTTTTCACCAAGAGCTCCACAGCAACACGACAGCGAAAGAAAACGTTAGCAACATCATTATACCAACAGTAATAGATCAAGGATCTAAAGACATTTCAGATATAACCGTAGATGAATTTAGAGCAGCCCTGAGCGAAATCTACAAATCCAGATGAAACTCTACTACATAAAATGCTCTGCAAGCTTCACAACGCATGCTTGATAAATGGAACAACACATCAGTGGATTGAGGAATCGAGCATTAATAATAATCATGCATAAGAAAGGTGACATAACAAACCTAAAAAACTATCATCCTATAAGCTTGCTTTCTTATCTATAAAGTTATTTTTAAATTTACTAACCACACGAGCACGAGCAAGCAGCTTCCGATAAGGGTTTGGCACAAACAAGTGACTATCGAGCAACAACAAATGCTGTGCACAGTAACAAAATACCATATAGATTACATCACAGCAGGTACCATCGTCACCAAAAGTAACTGGGACAGCATCACATTAGCTCTTGTCCTATTATATGAATTTTATTGTCAAATATTTGTCAAACTATGAATCAAATGCATTGAAATGAATGACAATAGAATTAGTCCAGGAGATTATTATGCATTATATGTGTCCCAGATACTTTTGGTGACGATGGTACGTTAATATAAGTAAAAACGTATTTCAAGATGCCAAAGCTTGTATAAAACTGCAAGACTATAAGCCTTCAGGATGATTTACCCATTGAACGGTGTATAGGGCAGGGTGATGTTATGTCCTAAACTTTTGGAATACATGCGAATCATATATATCAAGTAAACACATATAAGTATCTGAGACATGAGATTCTTATAGGCAGAGATAGCTAAATCTGAGAGATAGCGCGAACAGTCGGCTTAAGTTGGGCAACCTTTGGAAGATTGAGCAACACTCGAAATGCCAACATTCCAAACTGTTTGAAGAGAAAGTTCTTCAACCAGTGTGTCCTTCATGTGTTAACCTACGGCGCTAAAAAATTACACTGTTGGCAGAAGCCATTGTGATCTTCGATTTGAAGTTTAGACTCTGATCACGTGGGCCTGTAATCTTTCTGCTCGCTGAGGATTAACCGAACTCGACTATCCACTCTCATTTCGACAGAACTCAGGAACTGACCCATCTATTTTTACATGTATGCGCGCCCAACACGTGGCAATGCCTTTAAATTGGCTATTTGGTACAGGTGTGATTTCCTTGTCCTTATCCATTGCCCGTGGACTGACAAGGATAAAATAAGGATTGATATAATTCCTCCTTCCCTTTTTATCCCGTGCAAATAACAAGGACGGATTGCTATACGTAAGTCCGACATGAGTTAGTACGTCTTGCGCAATGAGCGTTGCTACGTCTTTTTTTTTATCTAATGGAGTTTTCGTATTATTTACCTCTGTCTGGTAAAATTGATAGGTCTGTGTCCTTTACTGAACGAAATTCTTATGGATGGTTTGGAAAAAATATATTTAACTCTCTATTAGGTCGAAGATTTCTTTATTGGCATCGATATGTTATTGATGTACTTGTTTTTCAGAGACTGATAGGCAGTTAAATTAATGTCATTTATCCCTAAAATCCAATTTACTAGCGAATTAGAGGATCGCGAATTCATCAATTTTATTAAACAGGTTGCAGTCAAGAACGAATTGTTAGTTTCTTTGATGATTTAGTTAAAAAAAAAACGTTATCAGATGATTCAGATGGCACTCAACTTAGCCTATTCATCATCCAAGAATATGTATATCCGACCAAGAATATAAATCTATTACATACTATTTCTGAAAAATGACTGAACCAATCACAACTTGGGTAAACTCATTAAAAACAACAAATTTAGATTGAACAAACTATCCAAATCAGGAGTCTACCTATTAGAATGTGTAACTTGTCCGAAAGTATAATTGGACAAATCGAGACACACATTCAACAAGAATTAGAGAACATCAGTCTAGCTTCATAAAAAAATAACACCCTTTCACGTACCTATTTTATATAAATTCAGAAAATCATGATTTTCTCCTCCCGCCGAGACGACCCTTGTAAATGCCCAAATAGGTTTTAAGTTTATTATTGTGCAAACTTTCGAAAGTAACATTGTAATAAATAAATGTGTAACATTAGGTTCTTTTAAGAATGTCGTGAGAAACTCCCCTTTTATTTACCTAGGATCTTTGCCGCCTTCTTGCTGTAGAAGAAGATTAGAAAGAAGCATTCAGATTTTGAACTTGAGGCTGTAAACCTTATATTTCGAGGTATTGAAAAACTGTTCATCTCTAAAAACATCATTAAAATTTTCAAATATATATAACCTTTTTACATAAACCCAAAAGAACTTGTTTTGATCAGTATGTTTAAAGGATTTAAATCACAGTGCTTGTGGTCATTGGAGAAACATTACATTGGTTTGCAAACAAGCAACTCGTGACTTTTCCCCATGCTTTTTTATGCTTTTCATCCTTTCAAAAATATCGTTCTCCTAATTCCGATAACATTAACATGTTTCCACTTTCTCTAATCCTGGAGGGATTTATATTTAATGAAATTATCGATGCTGGATATCTCTCTACTTAAAATGCCTAGACACGTTCGCCGTGCTCAATCATGAATCCTGCTTTTTATGGAAAATTCCGAATCGAGTGTTTATCAGTCTTGAGCACTGTTTATTTCCAACGTATAGTTGAACATAAAAATATGAAAAAAAAAAGACAGCAAAGGGTTGATTAAAACGTGTTTTGTGCCATAATCAAGGAAAAAGAATAGATGAGGCACACCGCACACCCAGTCTAAATGAAGATAAAATCTTTTGTGTACCTTATGTGAAATTTTTGTTGCTGAAATCTGATTTTTGGTAGGTAGGTAATTGTCAAAAACATATTAATTAAATTTTAATTGAAAAATGTGAGCTTGACAAACTTTTAATGATTTCATTAGGACAGTTTAAAATGGTATTATCTATAAACGGTTTTTGTGCGTGAGTCGAGCCCAAATTGAATTTTTCGCTATCAGGAAATTGCAGTAATTTTGTCGACAAGCGACAAAGTATTACTTTGCACTAATAAACAATTAAGTATCTGTTTTTGTATATGTTACTGGACATTATGTTTCTCTGATCTACATTGAATTAAATTCCTAAATCGCACGTTCAGCGTTCTCAGAAATTGAAAAGGTAATGGTATTACTAACAATTTTTTTTTTTCCCAAACATCTCAATAACATCTCATTAAAAATAAACGATAAATCACACTCCAATATACTCCGTCTTATTTTTTCTATCGCTCTCTTCGTCCGACAGCTTTTTCCTTAACAATCTAACTTGTCTACGAGTCAATGCGATTACAAAAGCAGCGCCAAGCATTCCAACAATGCTTCCTGTAAGAACGTCCCACCAGTGATGCCTTCTATCCGTTATTCTGGTGAGCGAGCATGCTAAACCGAATGTCATGCTTAGGGCAAACATGAACAGTTTCAAGGCAGTACCTGTTTTGTGGATTGGAAGCCTAGAATGGATGATGTACTGAAAACAATTAGATTGATTGTAATTCATAAGTTTTCAAGTTGACTTACTGCGCAAAACAAAGCTCCACACCAAGCACCAGATGAATGACCACTTGGAAACGATCTGGAAGCATCCACAAGATCCAAATAAGGCAAATCTGTACGTGTGCAAGTGAAGTCAATAATATATTCGCCAACGGTACAGTTTATGTTTGTATCTGGTCTGCAGGTGTCAAAAAAATGGGGTCTATGTTCACCAACTATTGTTTTAGCTAAAACATATTATTTATTGTATAGTTTTATAAATTACCCTTAGACGATTTAGTTTTCGATTAACAAAATCTGAATAATTGTGATTGTTCTAATCGTGGAACGCGCGTTGTGATATAGCCTTTTTTTTTATTGATTACACATAGAAAAAAAGAGAGGTCAATGGTAGATGTATACCAGCTATCTAAGTACTGAGATGCGCAGATGAGGAGCCTTTGTCAACTAACGCAAACTTATGTAATGGAAAATTTTCAAAATATCTGTAGTCATTTAGGAGAGCAAGACATAGAGAGAGCCATCATGGAGATTCTGTGAGTGTGTGAGCTATGCGGAAGTCTGAATGGCATCACGAGAGAAGATAGTTACCCCGGATTGACGATACCCTCAACCCGCTTTCAGGATTCACGTGATTTATTTAAACTTAATCTGAAAAGTGGATTCAGGTATGGAGCTTGACGAGAGAAGATAAGGAGACAACGGCCTTCCCTGCTGTGAACAGCCTATATGAATTCAATATTATGTCACGCCTTTTTGATTATGCTTTTCCCTGATGCCACTTTGGAAAGACTGACGGAGTTAGTTTTACGAGGACTCACTTAGGAGACGTGTTTGGAAAGATTCGGACTAAAAAGTTCAAAAACCGAGAAATAATAAAGGTGAGCATTGTTCAGAACCACCCTATATATAGGTTTTTATAAACTTCTATTGGTCAACTAAAATCGACTCCTGAGAACGCGTTTAACTCACCAATTTCAGTAAGTCCTTCAGACAAAATTAATCCAATGGTATAATTTTTCAAATACACATAAAATTCCGTAAAAGATTCCATGGTGAACAATCTTTTACAATTATTCTGTCTTGTTATTTCTATAACGTAATATAAGGCAGGAACAATTAATGTTAAACCTAGCCACAGAGCAAGCGAAGTCACCGTGTCACCTCTGTATTTGTGCGAAAACAGGGGGTCATTGCAATAAAATCCCATTTTGGTACCTGGGATTATTCCGTAGTTCCATAAAAGAAATACGACCAGACCTAAAACAAACAACCATCATACTTTATTGTCTTCGTGGGGAATTGTTTATCTTAGATTCACTTACATATAAGAGATATGACCCCATTTGCATAGTACTTAGCAGGATATGGTGGCAAACAAGCTGATCTGAGAGATGATTTTGTTAGTTTACCTTCTTGGTCCAAAAAGCTGAACTGAACGATCTCTGTGGGATCATCATCAACGGTAAATCGAGCAGCCATTTTCAATCTTCAACAGGTACCTACCTACCTTATATAGATATTCAATGTATTAGGTATTCTATCTGGAATAAATCATAATATGCTTATATCACAACAGCTCTGAATAAACATTACCTACTGATCCTATAATCCTTTGAATTAGTTGAGAACTACATTACTTAGTTTACCATCATAATATATTCAAAACATAATTGATAACGAAGTAGTACGAATAGCGACTGTCACTGGCTGGCTATTCCCCAGATGTATGCGTTTGGAGAAAAAAAAAAGAGATTTGGCGAATGTCAATGCTTAATTGCCCATACTAGTGAAGCAATTGACAAATCGCTTCACTAATATTGGCAGTATGCAATTATGTATAGCTATATCACTTATTCATGGACACGTAAAGATTTGGTTGTTGAAATTATAGAATATTCATACCTTTTGTTAAATATACCTGTCGATAATAAATATTAAACGCCGACACTTGCACATATTTATTCAAAAACCATGCAATGGTACTATAATAACTGAAATTATGAAATATTTTTCCGTGCGGGAGCTATCAAAAGTATATTTACTGTAACGATAAGATTACAAAATTATTACCCACCTACTTACTTGATATAAGTTAATGCTGTAACGTCTGTTTATTCACAGATTTCCGGAACAAATTATTATCAGTGATAATTATACTATATTTAAATAATACCTATTGGGTTTGGTAATAATTAATAATTAACATAACTAATTCAGGCGTGTTGTATTTGCTTAAAAATCATTCACCCTGATTTACGTAACCCGTGCACCGGAAGTTTCCAGTTTGCAAGTGAATTAGTAGTGATCTGATGATAGTGATAGCATCTAATCCACAGCTTACGTAAATCACCCCTGAATATGAATCGCTACTTAAAAAAATAAAATAAATGAATTTGCTAAAGTTCGTGGTACTAGTTGATATAGAATCAATTGGCTATGGAATGTATAAGACAAAGGACAAAAAACTTGCTACAAATTATAGAATGATACAAGGCTTGCCCAAAAGAAAGGTGAGGTGCATTGGAATGGCGTTCCACCAATGGCATCAATAACGGTTATAGCTCATGGAGCTTGGTGTAAAATATCCTGTCGTTCAGCCAAAGAACAAAAAATCTGCTATTTTCAAAGGGAATAAATTCTGTGACATAATTGGAGGTTTTAAATGAAGTCAATTCATGTTGACACACGCGGATTGTGTCACAACGATGGAGGTTACCTACGTAACCAGTGTTTTTGAAACATTGCAAAGTGACAAACCATAGGAAAAATCAAATGTTCCAATCATTCTATATACCAAAGACTTGGAGACACATTAGGGTAACGTTTATACCAAAGCTTGAAAAAACAGGACAAGACACCGCAAAGTCCCTAAGACCCATTAGTCTTAGGTCATTTGAGCTTAAGACATTGGAAAAACTTGTGGATATGCACATTAGGGACGGTGTGTTGGCAAGCCCACCACTACACCCCAGACCCAGTCGCGGATCCAGACCCAAATTAAGGGGGGGGGCCCATACAAAATATTGCAAGGTAGTTTCTCTATATTTAGTTGAGCCGTCTCCACCATATTTGGCTTCAAAAATTTTAAAAATACTATCAGAGAAACCAAGTGCCTCAAATTTTACCTAAAGCTTTCATCAGAATGGTTCACAAAATCGTCATAGTAGGATAGTATTTTTCCAATTTTTTGAGCCAAATATGTTGAAGGCGGCTCAAAAAAATATAGAGAAACTATATATTAGAAGCAAATATAGAGCATTTCATTTAAAAAAGTTGAAAGTACGCAAAATTTCAAATTTCTTAACATAAAATTTTGTTTTTGACGATGGATTCTGAAAATTTAGTGAAAACTGCACAAATTTTGTGTTCAGACCTATCTACCTGTAAAGGCAAAGGCTGCAGGTGGGTTGTCAAATTATAACCAGACACCCTGTACATACAAAAAATAGAATAGGCTAGAGGTCCCTGATAAAATGACACCCTGAAATAAAATTCTGTTATATACAGGCCAATGGGCCCTGGTAAGCCCGGAAAAATTGGTCGATTTAATGTTGATTTTTAAAATTATTTTTTCTTACCTAGGGGGGGCCATGGCCCCCATGGCCCCTCCCTGGATCCGCGCGTGCCCAGACCAGTACGTATATCGAACAGGGATGAAACAGCGCTTGACCAGCTGTTCACCATAGTGGAGACCACATTGGAAAACACGGAAGGCTAGGCTCCTTTCTGGACATAGAGGGAGCTTTGACAAAACATGCATCAAAATTCTTCATAAGTTATTATTAACATAAATGTCAAGCTACAAAATTATCATTATAGATATAATATGAACAGGGTCGTTCCAATAGCTATTATATGCCGAGGCAAAGTTCCATTCTGGCGCCCTCCTTCTCAAATTGTATTGTCAAAATGGTAAAAGATCAATATGATAAACAATGAATTTTACGCTATCGTTTAGAGAGTAAGAGAATAAAACAAAAAAGTTACTTCATTTTTTAAAATAAGTATATCATCATATGTTTACTTATTACATGAGGTCTGTTTTCACAGAAATCACAAACCAGTCAGAGTGTTTTTGATTGGTGCAAATCGTCAGCAACCAGTTCTCTGATAGTTTACAACCAATGAAATTTGTTCTGATAGGTATGTGATGTCTGTGAGAACAGATCTATACTGTAGATATATACAGGGTGTCAATGTCAAAACTCTCAATGCGAATATCTCTGAAAGTAAAAAAGTTAGGAAAACGTAATTTGGTACAAATGTTATACAGGTAGGGGTAGGGGTAGGGGCAACTATAAAACCACTATATGGCCCAAGGGGTCACTGACCCCATAACTAAAATATGGTAGTTCTAGTTCCCCCTACCTGTATTACATTTGTACCTACCAAATTACGTTTTTCTAAGTTTTTTACTTTCAGAGAATTCAGAGATATTGGCATTGAAAGTTTTCAAATTAACACCCTGTAAGTATGTATTTTTCATTTTTCAAATTAACTGAACACAAATATAATTTCTCAAAACTTATTAAATTATCAACACTAAAAATGAACCAGTCTGGCTCTACGTCTTGCAAAGTCAGAGATGAGTTCGTTGATACGTCTGTTCTCACAAAAATCACAAACCAATCAGAGGGAATTTCATTGGTTGAAAATAATTATAGAACTGGTTATTGGCGATTTGCAACAATCAAAAACGCTCTGACTGGTTTGTGATTTTTGTGAGGAGAACAGACCTATAATCTACACCATCGAACATGTTATAACCATCACACCATCGAGTGTGTTCAATGGTTGAAGGTTATAACATTTTCACGTTCAAATTATCTTGAGACAAAGATCATCGAAAGTGCCTTAATGAGCGGTGACAGGTGACAGTGGTGACACGTGAATTAACTTTTACCGGACTTTGTTGGATCTTTTATTATGTCCCTATTATCCTTGTGGCATGAAACATTTTTTTAAATTAACTTGTTCACTTGAAATAAATTTGTTTGCAATTTGGCGCCCCTGATCGTGGCGCCCTAGGCGGTTGCCTCGGTTGCCTGTGCCTAAATCCGGCCCTGAATATGAAAAAAAGACAAGAAAACAATCAAAAGACAAAATAATCATTTTAAAATGCACACTCATTTAGTCACAACGTTAAGGTATATTCACAAAACATAAGACATGAAATATAAAAAGATGACGGATTGAAAGGTAATAGTTACAAAATTAAACAAAAACAAGAACAAACAATTTAAAACAGTTCAAAATTCTGCCTGACAATACATTATGTAATATGTTAGTAGATGTTTTTTAAGTTTAGATCTAAATTGGTTAAAACTATCATTAAATATACCAATATTATCACATTGTTTTTTTATCAAAACATTTGTTAATTTCCACGGTCTTGATATGGGTGAGTTCAGAATTAATATAAAAAAAGCTGACTATTTCTAGAATTAATAGGAGATATGTGTAGACCAATATCTGCAAGTAATTCAGAGGTCTATAACCGTCTCCATAATATTATTTGAGATTTTATACAACAAACAGATATCAAAAAAGTTTCTCCTACTCTCCATAGACGATAAGTTCAACAATTTTCTAATTTCCTCACAATTACTATTTCCATAAGAAATATTTAGTTTTAATCCTCCTTTTGAGAAATTTATTTTGTACTCTCTCTAGTTTTTCCTTGTACAGCATAATACGGTTGCCACACAGTACTTCCATACTCTAGGATGGATCGAACCAGAGAACAATAAACATCTCCTATTGTTAAAACATTATTAAAACCCTTAAGAACTCTAAACACAAACCTCAGTAACCTCATTGCTCTATTTGTTATTATATCTTTATGTTTTGAAAAGGTTAACTCGCTGTAGACATCTGGCTAGAGCCAGATGCCAAGGTCCTTAACTAGGGTTTGTCTCTCCAACTCTAATGAATCAAGTGTTAAGTCGAGAACAATAGGACACCTAGATTTACTGAAAGAAATAACACTACACTTATGAATGATTAAAGTTAAATTATTCAATTCACACCAAGAAGAAAATCTATTTAAATCTTCAACAAAATACAGTCTTCAGTGGATTAAATTATCTTCAGAATTTCATACATCTGTCAAAACTGGTATTCCAACAATAAATTGACATGTTTTGATTGTTGATTTGAACCAATCAGATTGTAATTACGCGATAATTTGCACTAGTGCAAATTATCAGATAATTGCATACTAACTGGTGCGAAAACTGGTGTTTTGACATTTTTTGACAAAAAATTTAAATTTTTGATTAAATTAAATACAACTCGTGCAATGGAAATATATTTATAATTTTCGACAAATTTGCACTCAACTAAAAATGCATTCAGGCAAATTTCCCAAAAATTATCAATAATTTCCATTGCACTAGTTATATTACTATTGAAAATTTTCAAATCACCAGCAAATACAAGAAAAATACTAGATTTGAATACATGTTCAACATCATTTAAAAAACAATTAGAAAGAAGTGTTGATAGGTGTCCACCCTGGGCAACACCAGAAGTAACTTCCACTTCTGAGGAGATATGATAATTCAGTTTGACAGATTGTTTTCCTCTTGAGATTACTCTGAAACCACCTAATTAACATGCCATGTACACCAGCAGCCTCCAGCTTTTTCAGGAGAATGCTATAAACAACTTTATCGAAAGCCTTCGAGAAATCAGTATAAATTGCATCAACTTGATACCTATTCCCAAAAGCTTCCAACAAAGCCTGCTCACAAGTTAAAAGATTTGTTATGGTGGATTTTCCCTTCATGCAACCATGCTGTCCATTGATAATAACATTCTTAAAATGTGGGGTGATTTTATCTAATCCTATATCCTAATACCTTCAAAACCTTTGGCTACCAAGGAGACCTTCGATATTGGGCGATAATTTTCAATGTCTGATTTGTCTCTAATTTTAAAGCTAACATAGGATTTTTTCCAGGATGCTGGATATGTACCAGTAGACTATGACAAATTGAAATTATCACTCAAAATTTAACACAGAACAAACCTGCAGTTTTCTAGGAAAATAACAGGTATGCCATCTGGCCCAACGCCGAGACTCTGCTTCAATTTGCAAATTCAGTGGAAATAGCTTAAGCTGTCCAAGATCAACCATCCTCTCCGATTAAAAAGAAACACTTTCAGAATTGTCATATTC